ATTATTGAATCCTTTTTGCAATAAGGAAATAGTTTTCATAATAGATGTAGATTCTTAAAAAGAACTGCTTGAAGCTGAAGTTTTGAAGATTTTAAGGTGGCTTGCCTAGTTGTTCGGCTCCTCTACCCCTTTTTGTGGTAGTTTTTGATTTTACAATGTGCAGATTTAAAAGCCAATACTCTCCTTTGAGATTTGCTCTATAGGAGCTTCTAGCACAGATAAGAAAATTAGTGATCATTGAAAAGATTGAAGAACATAATTAGAAAGCTACTTATTAAGGTACGATGTCCGTGTTCGTCCTATCATTGATCATACCAAGACGCTGAAGGTTCATATCAGTATCTCGCTATATCAGATCATTGAAGTGGTAAGTATTCGAAATAAAGATTCTAAATTTATCGTATGATGTATTAGAAAATCCCATAAAGGTTTCACATTCTTTGCTTTAACTCTGTCAGATTGTATTATTGAAATTGAATAAATGATTAAATAATGTGATAAATAGAATAACTAAATAGGTTAATAAAATTAACCAAGTAATTAATCGTAAATTAAATACCCTTTCGCAAAAAATGAGCAAGAATTAGCCTAGGACCCAATTTTCAAAAGTGTTGCCAACAAAGTGAAGCCGTTATTTTGTTCTACCAACATTTTTTCTAATTTTTCTAGGAATTCGGAAGAACTACTGCTTTTTTTACAATCACTGATATGATTCTTATGTCTTTTTCTAATTATCTCTTCATATTTGACGTATTCATATGTCGCTTTCAGGATGAGCCCTCACAAAACATCAAACTAAATGTGTGGATGATCCAGAAATGGAAAGATGAATATCTAACATGGGATCCGCGTGACTACGGAATGATTAATTCTACAATCATCCCATTCAAGTATCTGTGGATACCGGATACTTACTTATATAATAGGTAAGTGCTGAGTAAATTTGTGGGTAATAACTAGGTAATTTCTACCAACTACGTAATTTCTTTTCCATCTTTGTCCGTTCAT